TCTCAAGAGATAAAAATCTCTTTCTAGAAAATCTCTTTCTAAAAAAAAAAAGCTTTCTAGAATCTGAATGCTTCTGCCACTAAAAACTGTCATCAGCTTCCATTAGCAAGTAGCAAATTATGGTTCGCAGTTGTGTTGTAAACTAAACCTAAGGTCCGAAAAGAGGAACAAACTTCACGACTTTTAAAAAAAATGTATACATGCATTTTGCATGTAGTCATTGTCATTTGACGTATGGCATCAGTTGCATTGCTTGACTGCCATTTGTCATGTGGCCTTATGGGATAGTTAAGTGTCAATTAGATGTGCACTTCAGAATCTCGCTGGACATAGTAGGTTGCATACTAGTTTTCACATATTATATAGTATAGGGACAAGGCCTTTATGTCCCCAACTTCCTGTTTGAATAAGAAATACTGCAAAGAAAACTCTTCAGGCAAGTGATTTCTCTTTAAGTACTGCTTGGCCTGTACTAGTACTTTTTTTGTGGGCTTCTTTTAGGTCACACCCTTTACCCAAATATGGCTGCTTCCCTACTGTATAGTATAGATTGTTGGCTTTTTTCCAACTCTGTGTCCTGGCAAAATGTCAATGAATGCAAATTTTAACGTGTTAATTGATAATGGGATTAAATGGTATAAAATAGACTGCAAAACAAAGCTGCAGTATATATGTTTCTTGTACTGATTCAGTTCACAAAAAGGTGTTTGTATAACATATCTTGAGGTGACTTTACCCTGAACAGTCATTCACTTCCATCAGGATCTCCCGAGGTCCATTTATTATCTCTTTCTTTTCATTTCCATCAGGAACAAAATAATCGTCTAAGGAAGTCACGGGACCTGAGTTCCAGTCACACTGACCTGGCGCATTGAAGGTCTGCTGTTGGACGTCCCGATGAAGAGAGGTACTAAGAGGTCTCATCATTGGGCTGAAGTGAACTGTGTTTTAGACAGGACTGCCTTCTCCGGAGGGGACTTTTGCTCTCGTGTCTCTGTATATGTATTTAATTTGTGGTAAGTTAGCTGTAGAAATGACAACTGGTGTAAAAACTCAACCAGAACCAAAGTGCACAACAAATTTGACATTATTAAGTTCTGCAAAGTTGAATTATAAATAATGCTATTCAGGCTCAGGTCGAGACTAGACACTCTAATGGCATTTTTGCTGCTTTCATGTGGTTTATTTTCCTTTGTTTTATTTTGACATGTACTTTGACGCTTTTTTAAAACCAACAACTATATGACTGTTTTTATTAATTAAGGATTATAGAGACAGAGGTGTGCATATTTTAGTGTTTATAGACAAAATTGTCATGTTTTTAAGTTTAGTTTTTTTTTGTACCATTTTCCCTCTTTGTGACTTAATATTCTGCTATTGACGACTTTAATGTTGTTTATACCTTGAGTTACACTAGAGGACCATGATGCTAAAGTACTGATTCAATCAAACTTATTCCCTTGATAAAGAGAGAACAGCACCGTGTTTATGAAGTTCTATGTTTACATGAGTGATGGTTCAATGATGCACATTTTTTTATTGCTTTTGAGAAGTGGGAGGGGATCTGGTTTGTAATGAAAGAAATAGGAAAATTCCTCCCTCGTGGTAAAAAGAAAATAATTTAAAGTGGGTTACGCTGCCATGGAGATCTATACGTTCAGAATGTGGATTAAATCTCAGGACTGAAAGAACAGATTGATTATGCAAAGTAACACAGCACTTTGAACAGTTTGATAGGATAATGTTACACTATCAACCCTTTGCATGTTACAGAACTAAATTGACATGTTTACCTCAGTTTTTATTGGTTACGTTTGGTTTATAGATGCTTTCGGTTGATGGACTGGTTTCACCTCTCACAGCAGCTCCAGCACTAAAATATTTGCTAATAAGGTCTATAAACTTAATATTACAAGTTTTCATGAACAATTACAACAGCAAGCCTTTTTCTCTCTGTTATGTATGAGGTAAAGCAATGCTATTATCTCAAATGGAGTTATAAGTACTGCTACTCCAGATTAAAATGCACTGGAACATGAATTCTGCCCCCAGATGTTTAACTACAGTACCTGTTTGAAAGCGGTGTGCCTTGTGAGTGCCTCAGGCAGATTCTTACTAATGAATGTGGAAGTTATTGATTTTGAGTGTGACAGCAGAACAGTTTGAGCTCTGTAAGGTCAAATATCGGTCATGGTTTTACAAAGTAATTATTAATTTTTAATACTGTGGTCAAATAAATGCCCAATATTTGTCAGTGTATCATGTCATGGATTTATGCTAATATAGTGCACTGCTCAACTGACCTTCTTGACTTTCTACTTTCTTTGTTCTCCATATCCATGTAACACTTTCTTTGGGTGTAATATATGACTGCCTCGTGCAGTAATTCATTCATGTTGTGTGTGTATAAGTGTGTTTTCTCTGTAAGACGCATGTTAATGCTCTGCATTGTGACGATGTGCAATAGTGTAGCTGGTTTTGATCTCACATGCAGTGTTTTACTGACAAAAGCTGGAATATCTGCTTGGCTTGTGTTTCGGTTATCTTTGTACTCTAAACGAATAAATATATCATTTACATTTTTATACATAGAGCATCCACTTGTTTTATGTCACTAATTTCAGCTTTGTTACACATTTGTGGGACTAAATGTGCCCTTCACATGTTAGAAATTTATTTTCAGATGGTTTATATTCTGCGTTTTTTTTGACTGTTGATCAGTTTGTGTTATATTTAGTCCTTGCTGTTATTTTATTTTTTTTAAAACAGGGTTACTGATGTGGCACTCGCAAAATATACTCTCAAAGGTTCCAATTAAACTTACCAAAAGGCAATATAGCATTAAAAATTAAGGACAAACCTGTGTGTAGTATGTTACAGCGGGGACTGTTGTGACCTGTATGAAATAACCCTGACATATTTATTTTTGTGTTTGTTGATAGTTGCATTTCTACTGTCTGTCTCCGTCTTCTACCATTTGTTGTCAATGTTTTGTATCATGTTGTACGTGTGTATATTTGTGTGTATTCTGAACTTCGCACTGGACTCATGTATCTTCCACTTTCTCAGGCTGCCGCTGTGCTGGCCACACTTCATTTACTGCCATGTTTGTTTTGATGTGTGTTACTCTGAATATGGTATGGTAAACTTGAATAAAGACAACAGAAGTACTCTGCTACTGTACGATTTTCTGGATTCTAGTTCCCCCTGTTGGCAAGTCGAAGTGTTTTATAACTTTTCCCTGTCATTCTATGTATTTAATGTTCTGTGTTCTATGTGCTTCTTTATATGGTTAAATAGCTGATATACAGTAGATACACAGTGTAATGAAATGTATTGATTTATCTTTATAATCTTACCTGGAACACAATGGGGAAGTGAAAATAATTTTATTTATCATGGTACTATTAACATTTCTAGCACATGGCAGACGGCTACAGATACTTGGAAGAGAAACGACTTGAAGGAATAGTTCACCCAAAAATGAAAATTAGTCACTCACTCTCAGGCCGTCCAAGATATAGATGAGTTTCTTCATCAGAACAGATTTGGGGAAAATGTATCATTACATCACTTGCTCACCAGTGGATCCTCTGCAGTGAATGGGTGCCGTCAGAATGAGAGTCCAAACAGCTGATGAAAACATCAGAATAATATGCAAGTAAACCACACGACTCCAGTCCATCAATTAACGTCTTGTGAAGTGAAAAGATGCATGTGTGAAAGAAACATCCATCGACATTTTTAACTTTAAACTATTGCTTTTGGCTAAAATACAATTCTCTGTCCATAATATGGCTTTTCCAGTGAAAAAGTTGAAAAACTTTCCTCCTGTATCAGGAAAGAAATATGCAAAGATTGAGCACTGTTTAAAAGCAAAAACAGTTCTAAACAAATAAATCAATGGATTTTGATATTGATGTAAAAGGACAACTGCGGATGGACTTTTTCCAATGGTGGAAGCGTTATTATGGATTATGGACTGGTATTTTGAAGGTTTAAAGTTAAAATGCCTTGATGGATTTGTTCCTTACAAACAAGCAGGTTTTTACTTCACAAGACATTAATTGATGGCCTGGAGTGGTGTGGATTATTGTAATGTTTTTATCAGCTGTTTGGACTCTCATTCTGACGGCACCCATTCACTGCAGAGGGTCCATTGGTGAGCAAGTGATATAATACATTTTCAGCAAATTTTATTTTTGGGTGAACTATTTCTTCAAGAGGAGTTGAGTATAATAGTAAGGTATAAACACAGGCTTTATGTAAATATAATAAGGGTAATAGATAAATATTACTTAAGTCAAAAAGTTAAAAACTTGTACTTGCTTTTCAAAACCAAATTGACAATGCTGAGCATTTAGGAAACAAATTTATTGCACATGATGGATGCTTTTATTTGAATAACTTAAATACTTTTAGGCTTTTACGAATTCAACATAGTAAAAGTGTATTTTGTTATTTTCAAATGGTCTGAACTACAGTAACAAATAGAGCCAACTACACTAATAATAACATACACTGCATTGATCTTTCCTCAAACAGACCGAGAGAAAAACATTATTACAACATCATTCCCACATTTCACAACTTAAATCAAACCAGTTAAGTTTATTAGACAGCAGTGAGGATATTTACTCACACTCATCTTTGGCTAGATGGTCATGTTTTCCCTTATTCAGGCTACATACAACTCAAAAAAAATAATCACCTAAATGCTGCTTTCTTCTTCTTCTTCTACATCCACTTTCCTGTGTGTCATTTGCATCACGGTCATCATTACAGTGTAAAGGTCAACCATTGCTGTCAATGAACCTCACCAACCACTGGAACTCAGTCACATCTGCATGCACACAAAGATGAAACAGGTCATGAACCTGTGCAGATTATGGCTGGAGAAATAACAGCCTATTCAGTGACTCACAAAACCATTCCCATACTGGGTGCTAAAAGAAAATCAAGAGAAATTTTGTAACTCTGTTATGCATAAACAAGCTTAACAATATAAAATGTGTTGAAGTGATGCATTCATCTTAACATAAAAACCCTACCTTTCTCTAGGTATGTATAAAGAGCCTTGCTTTTATCATGCTTCAACATGCAACATCTCAGTCCGCCAAAGGTTTTTTTATTCAGAAAATAAATCGACACGGCTGGGAATGAATGAAATAACTATTGTAAACTAAACTGATGGACAATTATAGACATTTCAATATATCATTTGTCTACTGGATAATAAGCGAGTTGTGAATGCTTTGGTTTGTCCCCTGACAATACAAGCAGAAGGAAGTGTATCCCCAATTATCAGATGTTCTTGATTGCCTGACACAAAGTAATTATGAACCAGACCTAAAATGTGTCTGTATTAACAGCAACAGAATCAGTGGGAAGACTAAATCTGGTCTCACTGGACAGAATAGTAACAAGACAATTCAAAAACAAAAACAAATAAATATGCAAACATATATTCTGCTACTTCTACCAAATACTGTTTTGAAGACATCACAACAATGTGCACTACACTACAAATCATACATATATGCATCAGAGAAAGATTCTTTTTTGGTTTGAAAACTGTCTAATACACACCTAAGCTAACAGCACAGAACACAGAATCTGATAGAGCTGATGGGACACATACAGACGTACAAAAAGCCAGATTAGCTTGTTGGGACTTAGTGTTAGTGAGGACGTGAATATATATAAGGCACTAAAGTCTCAAATCCACCCTCAACTTCATCAAGGTGCCTGGGAAAGCCCTGAGGAGTCTTGTTGACACAACAGATCTAGCGCATAAAGGAGCTACTGTAAACCTTCCTCTTCAGTGGCAACACCTTCTCATTCAAATGTGTGCTTGCAAAGTCATGTCTTTTGAGTGTTAAAGCCCCAAACAACTGTAGTCTCAGTTATCATAAGTTTACATGCTTGGCTTTAGAAATAAATCACACTTTTCTGGGTACTGCTACACCAGTATGTGCAGGATTCTCCTCACCTTCCAGTCTGCACTTTGGAAACTTGTGCTCTTTCTGTGGACTCTTCTGGTTGTGTTTTAGAGATGATGGATGGAAACAGGAAGAGGAGTTTACAAGGGTGACCTCATGTCCCTTCTGTCCTCTTCAGACAGTGATGAATCCCCTGCATGCTCAGCCCCAAGATCAGGTGTACATCCTTATGCCTCCTAGATTGGTTGACGTATTTGGGCAGGACTATGGGGAGGGGCTTACACGGCAACAGCAGCATCCAGCAACAGCAATTTATAGTTTGATGAATGGGCCGAAGTGATGGGGCACTCTGATCTTGGGTGAGGAGCAGGAGTTGGAGGATAGAGATGGAGAAGTGGAGAACGGAGGTGAGGATAAGATGGCATCTGCACTCAGAGAGAACACTGTGGAGATGGCCACATCCACGATGCCTTGACACAGCTCAGGGTAGAGTTTCCTACAAGAGAGAAAAACTTAAATATCAATAAACATTTCAATTTCATAACTTGAGAAACATTTGTAGGAGAAAAATCTTTACCAACTGCAACTGTGGTCTAAAATATAATAAATTATTACAAAGCGACTAATGCAATTAAAGTCAAGCACGCAAAACGTACAGAGCACACAAATTGGGATTTGTGTCGAATTAGAGGCATGTGAACAAAGTTTATTTGTATAGTGCATTTTCCTCAAGCCAGTAGTTTCTGTTTGGCTTTAAATAATTAATAAAAAAAAATAAAAAAAAGTGACATGACATGTGACATTTAGGATTGGCATTTATAATAAACATTGTTTGTAATGAATGCCACTATCATTTATGTTTGTTTTATACTTACATTTTGCATTTCTGTTCTGTTTTGAATAGTTACATTTAAAAGGATTTGTTATGGAGTTAAGGGAACTAAAATACATGTGTATAGTGTTTATAATGCTTGTATACCATTTGTTTTACCAGTATTTTACAATATTTCTAAATGTAATAAGATGTGACTTACAGTGGGTACGGAAAGTATTCAGACCCCCTTCAATTTTTCACTCTTTGTTATATTGCAGCCATTTGCTAAAATCATTTGTTAATTTTTTTTCCTCAATGTACACACAGCACCCCATATTGACAGAAAAACACAGAATCGTTGACATTTTTGCAGATTTATTAAAAAAGAAAAACTGAAATATCACATGGTCCTAAGTATTCAGACCCTTTGCTCAGTATTTAGTAGAAGCACCCTTTTGATCTAATACAGCCATGAGTCTTTTTGGGAAAGATGCAACAAGTTTTAACTTAAATGATTTTAGCAAATGGCTGCAATATAACAAAGAGTGAAAAATTTAAGGGGGTCTGAATACTTTCCGTACCCACTGTATACTGTTCTTTTTTCTTTCTTTTTTTTGACCCAGTGCAACTTAATGGTCAAGTGTGACTTTCTGGAAAACATGTTGTAAAAATTTACTTAACTATTAAATAGAAAATAATTATTTGCCAGATGAAGAACAGCGACATTACATGGTTTAAAATTCATTGTCAGAACAACAGTCTGACCCTCGCTGATGAAAATGATGATATCTACCATCTATTAAACATCTAGAATCTGTTGTGACTCACTTCCTCTAACAAATTTAACCTCAGTGTAAAATTTACCATCATAAATATAGCTAGGAAAGGGGGTTTTTTGGTCTTCCAAAACTCCTTGTGGTGACACATCATGTGGAATTCTTCATGCATAAAGCCACCAAATATGAAAATAAGGGACTAAATCATGATGATTTTCACATTTTTGGTACAGATGCAAGAAGCAAATACATTCTTGACATAACAAATGAGAAGTGTGTACTGACTGTGCACAGGCAGGTGCCCCGTTGATCTCTATTAGCCAGACTTTAAAGATCTCGTCCAGCATGAAGTCAAAGCCGAAGAGCTGGAAGCTCTGGTAGGACAAGTGCTTCGTGCTGATGGCTGGCTCGATGCATGTGAGACAGCTCCTGTTGAGACAAGATGCAGGGTTTCAGACGAACACCACAGGTAGTTAGACATCGTCAAATGAAGCATTTTTGTAACGGATCAGTGAGCTCAGACTTTTAGAAAAAAATGTTATAATTGATCTCTGATCTAAAGGAATTGTCCAAAATGTATTTGTTCATTTGGTTACTGAAAGTCACTGAGAGCCTGTTGGTGTCATTGTCAGTATATGGGGTGCACAAATCTGAATGAAAATGCTTTATTTTGCATTAGAAATGTTAAAACTCTGTAGATTTCCTGTAGCTCAAACAGTAGAGTGTGGCACTAAAAATACCAAGGTCATAGGATTTATTCAAGAACTGATGACATAAAATTAGTTAGAAATATTTAAGATTCTGCACTACTTCTAGATCATGAACTCTTTGTACAGAAATCAGACAAATTTTCAAACTTGTGAATTTCATGTCAGCTTTTTTTTTATTCTCAAAAATGTTCACTTAAATATGTAAGCTGTAATTTAATTAGAAAGAGTAGTTAACTATTAAAATAGTTTTTTTAAATTGAAATACAGATGAAACACATATACATATATACATATATA